TAATAATCTTGGTGATTACTTTAGTATTTTACTCTTTGACTATGATATTATAAATACATTTGATGTCGTAAAAAAGTATTAAAAAAAATAAATTAATATGATGTGCTCTAATTTTTCAAAGCTTTTATAGAAAAATTTGATAGAAAGGTATTTATATGTTCACTTTTTTGCGACGAAGGACCTTTTATGTTCAAAGTTGTGAAAAAGGTCCTTATAAATCACTTTTGGTATGAGGAGGGACTTTAATAATGTTGGAATATGACCATTAACTTTACTTTTCCGACGTATATAGACAACAAAAATTACTATTGGCTAAGAGAGTACTAAGTGTCATCGCTTTTCCACGATATTTTTTAAAAAAACCTTACCTAAGGAAATTAATTTATATGTACATAGAAATCATAAGTTACTAATTCCCTTCTCACATATAAACCACCACTACCAGCCTTAGCCACCTCAGTTCATTCCCTTCCCCACTATCGACCTAGTCAAGGCCTTCACTGCCACCCCCATCGCGCCTAGACCCTTGCTCCTCGCCTATGCAGGTCGCCGCCCCTCCCCCTACCCCGTGTCATATCCTCTAAACCACCACACCCCCTTCCCTCCCTCAAAATTCCTAAACCAACCTTCCCCCGATGCAAAACCCCCCAACCGCCCCTCCCCTACCCCAAAACCCTAGTGACTAGGGGTTTTGAGTGTCGAGGGACGGGCGATCGAGGGCTTAATCGATGGGGGGAAGGGCCTTTTAGGGATATCGGGGGGAGGAAGGGGGTTACGGGATAGGGTATGTGGTGTGGAGTTTAAGGGGGCGAGAAAAGGGGGCAACGGGAGGGGTGGTGCTAGAGTAAGGGGGTCTGGCATGGTGGGTTAAACTTGGTAGGATGGGGAGGGGACGGTAATGGTAGCGGAAAAGTGTGGTGGTTTTTTTTTTATATTTCTAAATTTTGTATTTTATTTTTACTTTTTTACCAATCATGGTGCCAAAACGTGCATATAACTTGTTATAATAAGTTGGATGACCATTTGGGATCATATTGATAAAATTCGCATTGTAGTTTGGATTATTAAAAGAAAAACCAAATTTAGGATTATTATTGGTAGATTAGGTAACGTACGGATTATTATAAACAATTTTTCCGACTTAATATGAAAGTTTAATATTAGATATATGAATTTGTGATAGCTAACCAGTGTATTTCCTCGGCAATGTTCTAATTATTGTTTAGCTATTCCCTCTGTCCCATAATACATTACACATTTCAAATATTACATACATGTCAATGCATTCGTTTGACTTTATTTTTATATAAATAAATGTTAATAAAAATTATTTTACAAATTACATAATGAAACTTTATATTAAAACATACAGTATCTAACAACCTATTTTAGGATATTTAATATAAAATATATATTTAATGATATAATATACAGTACAAAATATATATTTTTATGATAAAATATAGGGTTTTTCTACATTATAACGCTCTAACTTTCCGTTTTCCACAATGTGCCCCCGTTTTTTAGAAATCTACACTGTAACCCCAAAATACATTTACCGTGAAACCTAATGCATGAATAGTGAAAAAAAGCCCAACTTCTCATGTATTATGGGTCGGAGGGAGTATTAATAAATGAAGTTAGTTAATTTTCTTGAAAATTGACATAATGATAAGATATAAGCAAAAAATATTATATGATACATAAATAAGACTGATAGAATTAGTAGATTAAAAATAATGAGATGATCATACAAGTACAAGATGTGTTACATTAATGGGCTGCTTACATTTAAGCAGATTTATTCAAAGAAACAAAAGTAGATCGAAACATAAAGGATAAAACACAAACATATATATTTGGGGAACAATCTTAGGGTTTTATTAGGGTTTCCTTGTGTTATAAAAGGACCCTTTAATTGATCGTTTAGATTATACCTTTTATGAGCAATTAGATTTAGGACTCCTTGTATTATTCTATCGTTCTTTCTCCATTATAGTGAAGAAGCTCTTGAATCCCCCACCCGTGGATGTAGGTTTATTTTGAACGAACCACGTAAATCCTTGTGTTGTTTGTTTATCTTCTTTATTGCTTTTCTCGTTCTTATTTTTCTTTGATTTGTTCCGCATTAATCAAACACAATTACACCCTTTATTTTCTAACAAGTGGTATCATAGACAAGGTTTTAAGTTCTTAAGGTTTAGGTGTTTATAGATTAGTTTGATTAAGTTATGCCAATGAAATTTGATATTGAGAAATTCGATAGGCAAGTGAACTTTGGCCTATGGCAATTGAAGATGAAAGACATCTTGGTTCAAAGTGGCTGTCACAACGCTCTTGAAGGTGTATCCAAAAAGCCTTCGGGCATGATGGTAGATACGTGGGAGGAGATCGATTTGAAGGCTCTTTCAGCAGTTCAATTATGTCTCTCTAATGATGTTTTGAGAGAGGATTCCAAGGAGACGACTTCTGCGGGTTTGTGGTTGAACTTGGAGTCACTTTATATGACAAAGATCATGAACAACCGCCTACTATTCAAATATAGACTTCATGATCTTCGTCTAGAAGAAGGTAAACCGCTTAAGTCTTATTTAGATGAATTCTTCTCTATTATTATGGATTTGAAAAACATCGATGCTGAGATCGATGATGAGGATATGGCTATTAGGCTGTTATGTTCTTTACCGCCTACATATAAGCAATTTTGAGATACTTTATTGTATGGTAGAGATGATTTGAGTTTGGAGGATGTTAAGGATGCCTTAACTCAAAGATATTTAATTGACAATAATTTGGTTAATCTAATAATCCTGCTAAAAAAAATGCTTTAGTTTCTCATGGTGGTAATAAGAATTTTGGTAAAGGAAAAGTTTGACACTATTGTCATGTGAAGGGTCATATCAAAGCCGAGTGTTGGAAATTTAAGAAGAAGAATGAGGAGAAGTCCAATGAGGACAAATCCTCAAATATTGCCAATACCGACGATGATGATGATTATGCACTTTAGGGTTACGAGCTTTGGGGTTGCGGTTTCTACAATCTCTTCATCACAAGTTCCCCTTTGAGATCTCTTGGTAAAACGATGAACCGTGTGGATTTTTGGTATGTAGTCTATGATAGATTGTTTTTTTTTCGTTTGTAATAAAGTAGCAATCTTGGTTATGCATTAGATTTTGTTCTAATTATGCTATTTCTTATCTCAATTTTGGTACTTTTGTGATTTACTAAGTACAATTGCAATTTAGAAATTCTTGATGTAATTTTTTATTTTTCTAGAATTGCTGAAGTTTTTTTAGTTTGATTTTTTTTTAGATGAAGAAGTGTTTGAAGAGAGTTTGGTCAATTTTTGATAAGCATGCTTGGCGTTGGGACATCATACACTCAATCTAGGCCATGTGATGGTTTTGTGAATGGAAATTTTGTGTTCGGAGACGCACCGGTTCACAAGTTATGGAAGATGTCCGTTTACTGATAGCCTAATGTGAGTAGGCTTTTGGAGTTTTGTTTAAGGTGGAGGTTTTGTGTTTTATTATGAGCATTACTTCTTGGTTTTTGGTTCAAGGTAGAGTTACCTTGTTTTTTGGTCGATTTTAAGTCAAGGTGGAGATTGTTAAATTGTGACTCGAAATCTAGTAGGGCTGAATTTGAATGCTTATATATCTCATTTGCAAATGATTTTGAGGTGATTCAAGTTGGAGGTGATAGCTTGGTTCAAGAGCTTTCCAACGATAGGTCGTATGCCCAATTCCGATAAGAAACGAGAAAGTTATGACTGTTTTACGAGAACCTAACGAAGTTGGAAATTTGCAACGAGGCTGCGAGCTATAGCTCTATGCGAATGAGCTATAGCACGGCCCTATGAGGACTTGCGGCAAGCATGAACTAGCTTCCGAGCTATAGCTCGGTAGTTAGGTTATTCTAGGATAATTGATGGAATATTTCCTAAAATTATATCTTTTCTATGACGGCAATTTGAGTATACTTGGGGAATAATCTTAGGGTTTTATTAGGGTTTCCTTGTGTTATAAAAGGACCCTTTAGTTCATCATTTAGATTATACCTTTTTTGAGCCATTAGATTTAGGACTCCTTGTATTATTCTCTCGTTCTTTCTCCATTATAGTGAAGAGGCTCTCGAATCCCCCACCCATGGATGTAGGTCTATTTTGACCAAACCACGTAAATCCTTGTGTTGTTTGTTTATCTTTTTTATTGCTTTTCTCGTTCTTAATTTTCATTGGTTTGTTCCGCATTAATCAAACACAATTACACCCTTTATTTCCTAACATCTGTTCACAAAAAAACCTAAAATATATTATGGTCTAACCTAATGCATGAATAGTGAAAAAAAGCCCAACTTCTCATGTATTATGGGGGGAGTATTAAAAAATGCTGAAGTTAGTTAATTTTCTTGAAAATTGACATAATGATAAGCTAAGCAAAAAAATTCTATGATACATAAATAAAACTGATAGAAGTAGTAGATTAAAAATAATGACATGATCATACAAGTACAATATGTTTTACATTGATGGGCTGCTTACATTTAAGCAGGTTTATTCAAACAAACAAAACTAGAAGCATAGATATATGAATTTGTGATAGTTAACTAGTGTGTATCCTGGGCAATGATCTAATTATTGTTTAGCTACTCCCTCTGTCCCATAATACATGACACATTAAAACATTACATACATGTCAATGCATTCGTTTGACTTTATTTAAAATAATTAAATGTTAATAAAAATTATTTTTAAAATTATATAATGAAACTTTATATTAAAACATACAATATCTAACAATCTATTTTAGGATAATTAATATAAAGTAATATTTTATGATAAAATATACAGTATAAAATATATTTTTTTATGATAAAATATAGGGTTTTTCTACATTATAACCTTCTAACTTTCCGTTTTCTACAATGTGCCCCCAATTTTTAGAAATCTACAGTGTAACCCCAAAATACATTTACCGTGACACCTAATGCGTGGATGGTGAAAAAAATTCCAACTTCTCATGTATTATGGCTTGGAGGAAGTATTAATCAATGAAGTTAGTTAATTTTCATGAAACTTGACATCATGATAACTACTTGATAAGCTAAGCAAAAAAATTCTATGACACATAAATAAGACTGATACAAGTAGTAGATTAAAAATAATGGGATGATCATACAAGTAGTAGATTAAAAATAAGCTGTTTTACATTGATGGGCTGCTTACATTGATGGGCTGCTTACATTAAAAAAGTAGAAGCATAGATAAACCACAAACATACACGATAAAATAGAAACGATTGATAAGCATCAGCAAGTGAAGTGCAACACTGCGTGCGAGTGGAAGCGTGAACTTGGCTAATTAAGCAACAAGAATAGGATTAAAAGGAATATCTTGGTTGATGTTGGCAACAACGGTGTCATAGAAAGCAAGTTTGGAACACTTGGGAGCTTGATTTGGGAATAACATGTAGGGGAAGGCTGGACTGTTACCTTGGTCAGAAATAAACATAAACAACTTCAAGTTAAAAAGTCCATAAGAGGCTTCGGCACCGGTTATGGTCATGAGGGGACCAAATGGTGCTGCGTCGAGCCAAGGGAGAAGCTTAACATAGAGTTGGACAGTCACTCCCTTAACTTCGCTCAGTTTGTCATGTGATAAGACCGCCGATATCTGTTCTGAGCACTTGAGTACATTTTGAATAGCACCCAGTTCGTTAACCACGGTACATTTACCACGCAAGTTAATATTTAACCTGATGGAGTTTTGGTTGACAGGATCGCAGCTGAAGCTCACAGCATCACCAGGGAAAATCGAGGGCGGTAACCCATAATACTTCAAGATCCCAGGGATCGTTGAAGCAGGGCAGTGGGCATGGGCGGAGGACAGTGTTAGAGCAAGAGTAATTGCGAGGAGAGCGAGGGAGATAGTGGCTGTTTTTGGAGACATTTTCGTTATTGGAACACTTTGCTTATTATGTTTATGTTTATGTTGGATGTTTTAATTGGTGTTGAACCATGCACTTGATGCTACTCATTTTATAGATGGGAAGATTAAGCTAATAAGCTAAGGCATCCACTCCTTGCTAACTTGCCTCTTGGATAGGATGTAGTCCCCCACTTTCGCTAGCTAGCGTTGAAAATATTAAATGAACTGAATTAAATGTGAATAGACCTTTTTTTTTGTATTCTTTGACAATTATCACCTACTCCGGCCGTCCCATAATATTGTTCTTATTTTTCTACTTTGGAGTATCAAAATGTTGTTCCTGTTTCTATTTTTGGATAGTATGTAAATACTATTATACTCTCACTTTTCTAACTTTATTCATTGTACTTCCTAATTTACCCTTGAATTTTGCACATGCTTTGTACTTTTTCTACTTTCCCTCTTTAACTTTTGTCCATGATTGTACCTTTTACTTTTAATCAATGTAATTTATCCACTTTTCCTCCTATTTTTTAAATACTGTGAAGAAACACAAACAGGAACTATATTACGGGACGGAGGGAGTAAAATTGTTGTTGTTTTATGAATTACCACCTAAAGTATTATATTTTGTCAAAAAATACTTGTGTATTATTCTGTTATTCTGAAGTGAGGGATAGCTCAAGTGCTTAGAGCTTCCTACTCGATTTTAGGAGATCCTGATATCGATTATCATCCCCTTCATGTGGCTCTTTAAACACTAAAAAAATATAAAAAAAAAATATTATATTGCTCACTTGCCTATTAGATTGATCCACTATTTTCTTACACTCCCTCACAACAACGTTCTTTATTCTCTCTCCATATTACAAATAATTTTAAAGAATTTTTGTGAATAACTACCTTAAAGTCGGTTTTTGTGAAAAACTACCTGATTAAAAAATATTGTAGGAAACTACCTTTTAAACAATTCAATAGATGTTATAAGAAACTACTTTATAATACAATTAATTTTGTAAGAATCTACCTTTCAAACAATTAATGTTGTAAGAAACTACCTTTTGCTGAATTATTGCATTAAATAAGAGAAGTTCATGTACCCCCGAGGTTATAGAAAATGCACCATATACCCCTGAAAACTTTTAAATGCACTTTGTACCCTTAAGGTTTGTATAAAATTGCACCAAATACCCTTGACCTCATAGTAAATGTTAATGTTCACTACTAAAATTCAGCCAAATTGCGACCGCCTCAAACGGTCGCAGAAAATAGCAAAAACGGACACAAAATATAATTGCGGCCGTCAACGGTCGTAACATGGCGGTCGTTATTCTCTTGGTCGCAAAAAAAAAATTACGACTGTTTGACGGTCGTAGATTTTTTGTGACCGTTTTTACTATTTTCAACGATTGTGAAGAAAACGGTCACAAATATTAATAATTGCGACCGATTTATGAAACGGTCTCAAATCTTGAAATTAGCGACCACCATAAACGGTCGCTAAAAGTTTTGAAAAAACAAAAAAAAAAAAAAAGGAAAACAGACCCAGATCCACCGAAACTAGATCCCACCTACCCAAGCCACCACCACTGCCCACCCTAAAAAACCATTATCCGCCGCCCTCTACCCACCACCACCTTCGCCCACCTTCAACCATCAATACCCACCACCACCCTAAAGGAGTTGTGTCTTCGATAAGTGCAATTACTAGATATATCAAGGATCACTATTATGGAGATAATAAGTTCATTCTATAGGGTCGTCAATGTTTGGTGCTAGATATGACAATTGATCTTTGGGCTAGCTTAATGGCCCAAAGCCTTATAGATTGAATCCTACAAGGTCACACATAAGAGTATTGGGTTAAACAAGTTAGAGGCCCATTATTGGCCCTCATAAGTTCATGACATACCATGTTGATAATTGGGCATGGATAGTTAGAAGATTCTAATGGGTTTTGGACTTGACATGGTTTTATTTCTAGATATGATCTATAAATATAAACCATGCCTAGGGTTGCATGACAGAACAATTGACATACAGTGAATTGTCACACAAGAAACCAGTTTTCCCAAAAACCCTAACTCTCTCTATCTCTACTCGGCCCTCTCTCTCTCCTCCCTTTCCGTACGGCCCTCCTCCCTGGGTGGCGCGTGTGGTGGCGCGTGGGTGGTGTTGTGGTGTGTTCGTGGCTCAAATCTCCGTTGAAGGTTGATTGAAGTGTTCAGTCACAACTAACTAGCATTAGTGGAGGTTTAATCCATGCTCGTGGACTAAGTAGAGGAATCACGCTTGGGGTTCTTTATCTCCCATTGTTCTTGCTCGATCGCATGTGGAATCACGCTTCAAAGGTACGATTACATGTTCTTTATGTTTATGCATTAGATCTTGGGATTAGGTACTGTATGAATATGATTCATGTTTTTCCGCTGCGTAGTACCTATAATTCCCTACAGTGGTATCAGTTAGCCTATTGCATTTACCCATATTGACTATAATTCTTTGATAGTCCACAATTTTAATTCAATTAAGAGGGAGAATAGTTTAATTATGGTTCAATTATTTTTTTTAATGTGATTAAAATTTTGGAATCAATTAAATGTGATTTAATTATGCTCAAATAGCCATGAAGATGACCATTTTTAGCCCTAATATGTTTGAAAATTTCAAACCCCCTAACCCTAAATTTTGAATTTTTCGAAAATCCTAGCCCTAAAATATGATTTTTGTGCTTGATTTTGATTTAATTCGGTTTATTTTATGATTTATAATTTTAATCGGATTGATTTATGCATAAAAATGTTTTATGTATGATGATCAATTTAATTTTAAAAGTTAAAATTAAATTGGGGATTAATTTCATGAAGAACCCTAATTTCAGGATTGAATGTGATTTAATTTTGAAATTAATTGGACCACATTAATATTAATTTAATTTTACAAAATATGTTTTGTTTTATTTAAATTAAAAATAAAAAAAACAAAAAGGTTTTTAGCAGCGGCAAACGCGGCTGGGTGGCGCAGCCACGGCGGCTGCCGCTACAGGTGGTCCGGAGGGAGGGGCGAGGTAGGGCAAAAGGACGGATCAGCAACGACAGCACCGTGCAAGGGTTGCGCGGCACTGCTGCTGTGCACTGCTGCAGAGCAGCGTACACCTCACGGTGTACGGCCACCGTGGCCGGCTTTGGCTGGCCACACCACGGTGGCTGGTGCACGGTATTAAAAAAAAATTATTTTATTTTAAAAATATTTCAAGATAAATATGATTTATTTTGGATAAGATAAAATATTTTGAAAATATGATCTTTTATTTTGAAAGATAAATTTGGTTTTATTTGGATAAAATCTTTTATTTTAGGATAAAATCAAATATTCAAAAGTTGTTATATTTGATATTATCTATATTTAAAGTTGTTATATTGGTAATTATCCATAATTAAAGTGGTTAATTTTGGATAAGATTTGTTTGGATATTCTGAGCATATTCCAAAAGGATAATAATTGATTTAAATAATGTGATTATCCCATAATTAATTTTGGATATAGTTGATTTAAAATTTTGTGATTGGCTAGTAATTAGGATAGAATTTCCTAACTTTGTTAGGATAATCTTCGAGGATAAATATGATTTATCTTTTAAGATTAAAATAAGATTTGATTCTATCTCATGACTAATTTAGAATATATGATATTTTATTGATGGTCATGAATAATATATGACATTATCTAATAACATTAATTAAAATATGAGATATTTTGGTGCCATGTTTCCTTAATTGTGAACATTCGATGTTGTAGTTTAGGAAAGCATGATGTGTGATTTATTATGTGGCAATTTTATAATATATGATGTTATTTATTGCTATATAATGACTAGTATGGCCCAGTATATTACTAAATACGTTCTGCGCATCGTGATGTATTTTTGTAATCTTAGTACGGTCTACGTACCGATAAAGTATTTTTGTAATTTTATTTCATTTTATTTAAGTAGTAGATAGAATAGAGTAAAATTACAGCTTGCAGCTAATCCAAGAAGTCCATGCAGTGAAGGCCCAAAGGAGCAAGATGGATGAGATCCATGAAGGTTCAAGTGGGAGCATTTACTTTATTAGTTTTCTTAGGATTAGGGGTCATGCTATGTCTTGTTTATGCATTCAGTTTATTATGCATGTTAGATTTTATTGATGTTTTGTGATGATGCGCTAGAGTTCACTATTTAATCACAACATAATAAATCTAGGCCCTAGTAATATTGAGGTTGCTTTTCCAATTAAAAACCCGATGAAACCTTCGATATTTATGACAAGTCATGCCTCGGCTGGGTGTCATACTATATCTTAGGGGAGTGGGGGTAAATCACGTTTTACACTTTTAATTGGTTTTACTCAACAAGGTTACCTAAAGAGTTTAGAACCTTGAAGCTAAGGGTAATAATTAAACATGTGGTGGTTAATTATTCAACCAAGAATTACAAAGAGTTGTAATCAGTAAAGAGTTTACTCACCTTGAAAAGGCAATACTTGATGGTAGGGCCTCAGTCCGGTCAATTATTACACAAATAAAGGATCTTGGAACCATTTTATTCAATAGGGATCAATTAAAATTGAATAAATGCTTTAAAGTTGCCAATTTAATTCGCTTATGACACTTTAAAATTTTTATTAAACATAATTGAATTTTCCGTTTACTTACAAGTAACATGTCGTTCTAATTTTATTATTATATATAATCTCCTCGATTGAAAAAAAAGTTCAGAAACATTCTCAAAAGGTTAAAAGATAATCCATAAACCTATATTCCAACTTTGCTAAGATGGTTCTAAAAGGCAAGTTTTAGAAATCCATGTCACATGTCTAAGGTTGGTTTTATTCAAAATGTTTGAGTAAAATGCCAACACATCTTCATTTTGAAAAGTGTTTCAAGGGATATAATGAGATGGGAGGTACAAACCCTCTAAAAGACAAGTACAGAAGTCCAATAAAATATCTTATCTTCAATATGATTGAATATAAGAAAGTGAATGGAAATCTCTATGATCAAAAGTTGATAAAATGACGCTATTCTTCATCCATTTTATATAAGAGTTAAATAGTTGATTAA